CAGTCCTGAATATTCACTTGAAGGACTGATGCTGAAGCTGAAACTCCAATACTTTGGCCACCTGATGCAAAGAACTGACTCATTGGAAAAGACCCTGATGCTGGGAAAGATTGAAGGCAGGAGACGAAGGGGGTGACAGAGGATGAGATGGTTGGATGGCCTTACCGACTCAATGGCAGGAGTTTGAGTAAACTCCGGGAGTTGGTGATGGACAGGGAGGCCTGGCGTGCTGCAGTCCATGGGGTCACAAAGAGTCTGACACGACTGAGCGTCTGAACAGAACTGATCTTCCTGCTCAGTCAGGGGTGAACTCATGCCTGAGGCTCCCTCTCTGGCTCTGGGCCTGAGACTGCCCTCAGCCCCTTGGCCCGTGGGCCTTGCTAGCTTCATCAGAGTCAGCGAATGAGGAGGGCCAGAGGAAAGGAAGGCAGGGAAGTCACCTCCTTTACCGGCCGACCTCGCTAAGCACTTCTGCTGGGCGTCTTCCTCAGTGAGAGGTGGGAGTCTGGCCATGCTCGGGGAGGGGACACGGAGGCCAACAGTTCCAGGAGCAGGGGACATGCGGGGTAACGCCGCCTGCCCCGTGGTCTGCCTGTACATGTCCAGGGAACGGGAACCCGAGACGGTCACTCTCGCAGTGTTGAAAGAGGCCATGGAAACCATGAGGACAGTAATAATGGCATAATGGTCCTGTTTGTGTCTCAGTTTAAGCCCAGCCAGTGCTTTTGGAAAGATTATTTCTAAGAAATGGAGCTTCTGGCAGAACACGCGGCCTTAATCTCAAGAGCCCCCGGGTGAAACTGAAGGTCATGATAAGGCTTGTCCACACGGCGCTCACACCTGCCATCTGGCTGAAGTGGCGCATGTATCGTTCTTCATTCCATTCTGCCTGTGGACGGACTGGGAGCGTGGGGCTGGAAGTGGAGCTGCCGGAAAGAGGGGGTCGCCTGCAGGCTGGGCTGCTTCCAGCTAAGATCTAAAAGGATGCTCACATGCTTGCTTCATGAACCCTTTAAACCATCAGCACACTCTGGAGCCCGGACTGTCCAGCCTACGGTCAAGTACGACATGTAGTTATTTTGGGTTATTAAATATTTAATATTTGCCAGGGTTGTTTTTTCTTGCAAACTAATTAGGCACCAAGGCCTTATATTGCCAAGAACTATATGCCGGTAAAACTAATTAGCATCACAGTAATTGCCCCTTGTGTAAGTAGGGTTATAAAAGATCAAGATACATATTTAATTTTAAAGCTGCTTTGAAGCTCTCCTCGATTGAACAGCCAGCTCTCTCCGGGTCCATGGCAGGTATGTCAGAATAAATGAGGGACAGGGAACATGTCCCTGGGGAAGGTTGTGGGCTGGCCAAGCGGTTTTCCCTGGGGGCTGTCATGGGTTGAGCAGGCTCACTCCTGGCCCAGCTCCCTAGCTCCCTCAAAAACAGGTTGAAACCTTAACCTCTAAAACCTCTGAAGATGATAATATTTGGACATCATCTTTACAGAGGTAATCAAGGTGAGATAAGGTCATCAGGGTGGAGTCTGATCCAGTAAGGCTGGTGGTCTTATGGAGATGGGAAGTCTGGCCACAGAGAAGTCACGTGGATGGAGGCATTGCTGGGGCGGATGTGTGTCCACGCTCAGGAAGAGCAAGAATGACCAGCAAACCATCACAAGCTGGGAGAGAGGAGCTGGGGTATCAGAGCCTCCCCTAGCAGTCTCAGGAGGGACCAGCCCTGCCCAGAACACCGCGCTCAGTATTCTGGCCTCCGGGACTCTGAGAGAAAAAATGTCTATTGTTTTAAGCCGCCCAGTTTGTGACACTTGTTCACGGCAGCCCCAGAAGACTAATACGGCCCCTCTATTTACTAGTCAGTGGCCAAGGCTCTGGAGCTGAGGGCCAGGCTTACTTCAGAACAATCTCTTCAAGCCTGTGATGCCTTGTTACCCTGCTGAAAATCCCAGGGACCCCCACACTGTGGGAACCACCAGCTCATCTAGCCCTTTCCTTCTCAGAATTCTGGAGAGTAAATCTCCCAGGATCTGTCCCCAGGGGGCCCTTTCCATCACCTGCCCCCTCGTGTTGCTTCACCCTCAGCTTCTCACCGAGACTCCGGACATGTTCACGAGCAAGCACACGTAGTGTCAGGAGACGCCCAGAGGAGGTTTACAACCACGGCAGCTCTCTCTGTCCAGGCCCGAAGGGACAAGGCGGTCCAGGGAGAAGAGGGCACCATGCAGGGGTCTGCCCCCGTGCAGTCATAACAGACAAACGATCTGAGAGAACAGCATTGTAGCACGTGTATTATCAAGTGTGAAGCAGATCGCCCGCCCAGGTTGGGTGCATGAGACAAGTGCTGGGGCTGGTGCACCGGGATGACCCAGAGGGATGGGATGGGGAGGGAGGCGGAAGGGGGGATCGGGATGGGGAACACATGTAAATCCATGGCTGATTCATGTCAGTGTATGGCAAAAACCACTACAATAATGTAAAGTAATTAGCCTCCAACTAATATAAATAAATGAAAAAAAATTAAAAAATTAAAGATATATGTGATTACTATGTGTAAAATATATAGTCAACAAGGACCTACTGTGTAACACAGGGGAGCAGACTCTGTTTTGTGATAGCCTATACCAAAAAGAATCTGAAAATAAAAAAATATCTATATGTACATATATATATTTCTCTCACTGAATCACTTTGCTAGGAAAAAAAAAAACAACAGACAAATGAGGCTTTCCAGGGGGCTCAATGGGTAAAGAATCTCCCTGCAATGCAGGAGATGTAGGAGACTCGGGTTTGATCCCTGGGTCAGGAAGATTCCCTGGAGGAGGAAATGGCAACCCACTCCAGTATTCTTGCCTGAGATATTCCACGGACAGAGGGGCCTGGAAGGCTGCAGTCCACAGGGTCTCAGAGTCAGACACGACTGAGCACAGAACATAACAGACAAACAGGACTGAGAAAGAAGAAAAAGACAAGAAAACGCAGAGAAATGTCCTCACTTCTGCATCCACTCACTGGAGAAGCATATTTCCAGCAGGAATTTGAAGTCAGATATAACGCTAGCTATTGAGGGTGGGAAATGACAGATGAATGCTGCATCGGGTACTTCCGATCTGGTTTTGTCTCCTCTGTCATTTAATTTCTAGATGGCTTCTGACCCCAGCAGGTCCCTGGGAGGCGGAGGGGATGCAGCATTCCCTCTGGTCCTGGATGCTCTGATCGGGGCGCTGATCTCCATCAGCTGAAAGAAAAGGAGCCGTGATGGCATGCTTTGGGCAATTCCCATCCATCCGTCCATCCGGCTGAAAAATTATCTCAACTCATTCTCCATTCTGGCTAAATCTATCAGATAGTACCTCAGTGTCCCATCCACTCGGTCTATTCTAAAGTTTACTAAAAAGTCTTCAGAATACTCTTTAAATCAACTTTAGTGCATATTCAAAGTTGTTGTCATGAAAGAAAATCTTCCGTGTGTGTGTGTGGGTCCCAGGTACAAAACCTCTACAGCTGACATCTCAGCTCAAGAAGTGGGTTAATTTTCAAAGATGGCTGAAATAAGGAAGTCACCATAATGCCGATTTGTAGTAAACAAGCCCACATGCCCACCTCGGTGACATTAGATGTCGTTGGCTGGCAGAGGAAAGACAACACACCTGAGAAAGATGTTGATCCCTTCCCTTTCTGATTTCTCCAGTGCCCTGATTCTGAACAGCCTGTGTCAGTGTATAACATTTGCATTGCCATCTAGGTAGCAAGAACTGTAAAAAGAGTGGAAAATGCTAGAATCTGTCTTTAGCAGCAGGTTCAGTTCAGTTCAGTCGCTCAGTCATGTCTGATTCTTTGCGACCCCATGGACTGCAGCACTCCCTGTCCTTCACCAACTCCTGGAGTTTACTCAAACTCATGTCTATTGAGTCGGTGATGCCATCCAACCATCTCATCCTCTGTCGTCCCCTTCTCCTCCCACCTTCAATCTTTCCCAGCATCAGGGTCTTTTCAAATGGGTCAGTTCAGAGGGCAAACAGAATGAAAGCCACAATCACAGAAAACTAAGCAATCTGATCTCATGGACCACAGCCTTGTCTATCTCAGTGAAGCTCTAAGCCACGCCACATAGGGCCACCTAGGACAGACGGGTCATGGTGGAGAGATCTGACAAAACGTGGTCCACTGGAGAAGGGAATGGCAAACCACTTCCGTATTCTTGCCTTGAGAACCCCATGAACAGTATGAGAAGGCAAAAATATAGGGCACTGAAAGATGAACTCCCCAGGGCGGTAGGTGCCCAATATGCTGCTGGAGATCAGCCGAAGAGGCAGTGGCAAAAATAGAAAAATCCATTGAAAGCAACTGGAAAGTTGCTGAACTGTGGCTTCTCCCCGCCTGCAGTCCACAGGACTCTGCTTGGCTCCAAGGGGGTCCTGGCCAAGCCCCTTCCCATCCCTCCTGGGATAGGAGCCTCTGAAACACCACCAGCCTGGAGAAGGGCTTTGGGGGCCTCCTGTTCCTCTCCAAGCCCTAGGGGAGCCCTCCCTGTTCCGAGATCCCCCTGCTTAATTCAGGGGCTCAGCACCCCCAGGTCGCCTCCTTAAGGTGAAACCACCTGGCGTGATGGAGAAGCAACCGGAAGGTGTGGACCAGAACCACAGGGCCCGTAGTGATACCTGTGGGCCCTCAGGACCGGAGGGGAGCCCCGAGGCTGGTAGGGAAAGGATGCGCCTCACGCCATGCACAGCGCCCGGCTCTCGGCCAGCCCAGCTGCCACTCTGCCCTCCCCCCGGGCAGCGGCTTTTCCCCACTCCCAGGGGTGAGAGTAAAACCTCGGCCCCGCTGCATACTCACCCCATCTCCCCCCAGATCACCTCCCAGGGCCACGAGCGGCCCCTGCATCCATCCACACCCACCCTCACTAGCTCAGCCGTGTTTCTTAGGAAAGCCTATGGGGAACAATCTCGCCTGTAGGCTGCACCTGTCGGGGGCCACAGGCGCTACCTCTCTGCCCTCAGCACGTCCTCCGGGTCCTGCTCCCGGGCCATCCGGCTGTGTCTCCAAGGGCGACCGGAGCATGGCCAGGGTCCCGGCGTGTCACTCTGCTCCGTGGCGACCTCATCTCTCCAGGCAGCAGGCGGATGCAGAGTCTGAACCCCAGGGCACCTGGGCTTTCTCACTTCATCGGCCCTGCCCTGCTTGCGTGGGTCATGGCACCTGGGAGGATCGTTCCAGTGGCTTCCCAGCACCTGCCTTCCACGTTTCACCCTGGCACTCATTCACAGACGTCTGAGAGGCAGGGCAGGAGAGCAGGATCTTTGCTAGAAAGCCAGGCTAGGAGGAGAGGGGGAGCCCTCGCCGTCTGCTGATTCGGGAATGCATCCTGGTTCACAGAAGGGAAGACAGTGACTCAAGGCCGATCGGTCAAGTCCTCTCTGGGTAAGGGTCTAATCACGTGTCTGTGGGACCCCTTCACAAAGTGAGTAAGCCTAGAGCTGTCCTCTTGGTGGGCACATCCTGAAACTTCCTAGAGGTTCTTTCCCAGCACAGCTGAGCCTGTCTGCCAGCTAGAAAACCCATCCTGCTGCAGAGGAGGAAAGCAAATTGGAGACCCTTTCTGGGCTGGCTGTCAGCCCCCAAAGCCAGGAAGCTTTGTGCAGGGCATGTGACTACAGAAATTATCTTTATGGCAAAGGGGCAGTGTGTGTGCATGCTAAGTCGCTTCAGTTGTGTCCAGCTCTGTGGACTGTGGAGTCTGACTCTGTGTCCGCTCCTATGGAGCGTAACCCTCCAGACTCCTCTGTCCATGGGATTCTCCAGGCAAGAATACTGGAGTGGGCTGCCATGATCTTCTCCAGGGGATCTTCCCGACCCAGGGATTGAACTTGAGTCTCTTGCGTCTCTTACGTCTCCTGCATTGCAAGTAGATTCTTTACCCACTAAGCCACCCAGGAGGCCCCAGGGGGTAGTACTGTAACTAATTTACACTCATTAAGAAAAATATTTCAGAAATGGTGTTTTATTGGGTCACAAGGCACAGTTCCAACGTTCTAACAACATTGATATGTTTTTCCATTTCGTAAGAAAACATCTTACATACTTTAAATCATTTTCTCTACATTGTATAACTTTTTACATTTGATACAGCATTTAAAGTATTTACCATATTATTTCAATACTATTCTACCTGTTTCCATATTTTGGGAACGTTTCCACAGTCGTTAAAGGGACAAAGTGGTATTCTGCCGAAAGGATAAATGAATAAGATTTTCATGGCTCCTTCATTGTTTTCCCTGTTCACCTTATAAACAGCTCCACTAACCTCCACCAACCAGATTTCTTCACCAAGAAATATATTTCAGGGCCTGGCTGCTTTGAAATCAGGACTGGGTACAGTTCAGCAGGTTTTCTGGAGGTGGAATCCCGTCTCCTCTGGGGCTGCTGTCCTAACCCACGAGTGCTAATCTCCATTCTCAGCTTCTTCTGCCCTCCAGCTAGAGAAGATTGTCATCTCTTTGTGTTTGGCCAAAGACGCCTTCTTGTTCAGCTCAGGCTGCTCTAACACCGTCGAGTGGACTGACTTTTCATAGTTCTGGAGGCTGGACGACCAAGATCTAGCTGTGGCAGATTCAGTTCCAGGGGGGACCCTCATCCTGGGCAGATCCAGTTCCGGGGGGACCCTCATCCTGGGGAGATTCAGTTCTGGGGGAACCCTCATCCTGGCTTTCAGATTCAGTTCCGGGGGGACCCTCATCCTGGGCAGATCCAGTTCCGGGGGGACCCTCATCCTGGGGAGATTCAGTTCTGGGGGAACCCTCATCCTGGCTTTCAGATTCAGTTCTGGGGGGACCCTCATCCTGGGCAGATCCAGTTCCGGGGGGACCCTCATCCTGGGCAGATCTAGTTATGGGGGGACCCTCATTCTGGGCAGATTCAATTCCTGGGGGGACCCTCATCCTGGCTTGCAGATCCAGGTCCGGGGGGACCCTCATCCTGGCTTGCAGATCTAGTTCCCGGGGGGACCCTCATCCTGGCTTACAGATCCAGTTCCCGGGGGCACCCTCATCCTGGCTTGCAGATCCAGTTCCTGGGGGGACCCTCATCCTGGGCAGATCCAGTTCTGGGGGGACCCTCGTCCTGGCTTGCGGATCCAGGTCCGGGGGGACCCTCGTCCTGGCTTGCAGATGACTACCATCTCCGTGTCCTCACATTGCAGCAGGAGCGCTGGTGCCTCTTCCTCTTGTTACGAGGGCACTAATTCCATGGTGGGGGCCCACCCTCACAACCTCCTCTACTCAGCTCTCAAAGCCCGCGCCTCCTAATAACAGCTCATTGGGGGTTAGGGCTTCAACGCAGGAATCTGGGGACACAAACTTTCAGTAAAGAACACATTGTTGCTGTTTAGTTGCTCAGTCATGTCAGACTCTTTGCGACCCCATGGACTGCAGCACGCCAGGCTTCCCCTTCCTTCACCATCTCCCAGAGCTTGCTGAAACTCACGTCCATTGAGTCAATGATGCCATCCAACCATCTCATCCTCTCCCCTTCTCCTCTAGGCCTCAATCTTTCCCAGGATCAGGGTCTTTTCTAATGAGTCAGCTCTCCAAAGTATTGGAGTTTCAGCTTCAGTAACATAGGCTTCTGACTTTCACACTTGCCTTAAGCATTCTTAGCTTTTCACTCTCTTTTAAATTAATTTATTTATTTTAAAAAAATTTAGTTGCACTGTGGGACACGTAAGATCTTAGCTCCCGGACTGAACTGCTGGCCCCTGCATTGGAAGCTCAGAGTCTTAACCACTGGTCCTCCAGGGAAGACCCCTGCCTCTCACTGTCCTTAATGCAGGGTTTCTCAGCTTTGGCACTGTTGACCTTTGGCCTGGTGGTTCTTTGTTTGGGGGCTGTCCTATGTACTGCAAGGGTGTTCAGCAACATTCCTGGCCTTTGCCCCTCAATGTCAGTCAGTAACAACTGTCCCCTCTCGCCTGGGGCAAGTCTGGCATCACCAGATACCCCAGGGAGCCAAAATCACTCTCGCTAAGAACCTCTGCTCTAACGCATCAGTTCCCTCCAGCACGGACACTGATTCTCCTGTGATTACTGCTCCTGGAGCCTGGAAAGCCGCTACGGCTGTGAATCGGTCCCCCACCCTCCCGCCCTCCAGCCCAGATCTGCCCAGGAAGTCACAACAACAGCAGCCCTGCTGATGCCGGATGCTGGCCGTGGCCCAGTGGCCCTGAGTCTCAGCCCTCACAGCGAGCTGACCCGCCGCTTTCTCAGTCCGCCCTTGACCAGAACACTTACAGGTCAGGTTCCCCAGGAGCAGATTCGACACACATATTTGTAACAGGAAGTCCGCTGGGAACAGCGGAGGGAACAGCACCCGTGGGGGAGCAGGAAGCAGGACGGTGTCCAGGGAGGCGGAGCTGGGCAGCAGAGGCACTGAGCTTACCAGGGCCTTGGAGCTGGGACGGAGCTGAGTGATGGTCGGGGGTGCTCGGTGATGGTCAGGGGGGCTCGGTGATGGTCAGGGGGGCTCGGTGATGGTCAGGAGGGGCCTGGGTGATGGTCAGGAGGGGGCTGGGTGATGGTCAGGGGGAGCTCAGTGATGGTCAGGACGGTGCTGGGTGATGGTCAGGGGGAGCTCGGTGATGGTCAGGAGGGAGAGCTCGGTGATGGTCAAGAGGGGGCTGAGTGATGGTCAGGTCGGGGCTGGGTGACGGTCTGGAGGGGACTCGGTGATGAATAGGGCAGGGTTGGGTGACGGTTGGGACGGGGCTGGGTGACGGTCAGGACAGTGCTGGATGGTGGTCAGGAGGTGAGTAACAGGGCAAAGTGTCCATGCCCGCCGTTAACAGCCGTTGGACAATGGTGAGTGGACTGAACGCTTTCGTCTCAGTTCACTGGTGGAGATCCTGACCTCCAGGTGGTGGAATTACAGAGTCGCTCCTTGCAGAGACGAGTAGGTTGGGAGGGTGGAGAGCCAGGCCCTGAGGTAGGGCCCTTGTAAAGAGTCCCTGCCATCTTTCTGGGATGTGTGGACACAGTGGGAAGTCGGCAGTGTGGCACCCGGGGAGGGGCTCACAGCAGAAACCCACCACACGGTCCCTCTGACGTCCGAGCTCAGGAGCCCGCCACGCTGTCAGCCCTAGTCAGACTTCCAGCCTCTGGAGGTGTGAGAATTTAAACTCTGGTGGTGCCCGCTCCAGGCTGAGACCTTGCAGTCAGAGCCGCAGCAGTGGACTAAGACGGGAGGCTGCCAGCAGGAAAGGCTGAACCTGGCCGAGGCCGCTCCTTCCAGCAGAAGCAGTTCCCAAAGGGGGACCCGCAGCGATGGGGCCGAGCACCCCACCCCGCAGGGCCCTGGGCAGCTCTCAGCGGCCCCCACACCTGGGCCTCTGACTGCACCAGCCCCCCTCAAATAAAGTCACACTCGATCCTGTGTCTCCTGGGCCTCTGACTGAGCCAGCCCCCCTCATATTAAGCCCCACCCAAACCCCTGTCTCCTGGGCCTCTGACTGAGCCAGCCCCCCTCAAATAAAGCCCCACCCAATCACCTGTCTCCTGGGCCTCTGACTGAGCCAGCCACCCTCAAATAAAACCCCACCCAATCCCTTGTCTCCTGGGCCTCTGACTGAGCCAGCCCCCCTCAAATGAAGCCCGACCCGCTCCTGGGTCTCCCTGGCCTGGGTCCTCTCCACCTGCCCCTGCAGCCTGCAGGGTGCGACCTCCTCACCTCCTTCTTCAATGGCCAGCAGGACCCCCAGGCTGACTCCAACCCAGCTGGTGCCTGCCTCACAAATAAATGAACCGTCCCATGAACAGCATAGTTTTTGTTTTATTTCCCCTGCAAAATAAAGCCACTCCTCACGTGTTCACAGAGGCTAATCATGAAAGAGGGAAAGCATGCTGTCTGTCTGCAGACTCTCTCCTGAGCTCTGCAGCCACGTGCGGCTCTTCCCCTCTTTGCACGGGGCTCCCCGCGTGTGCTCCCGTGAAGTCTCCGCGGGGACCGGGGCCACGTAGAGACGCCTCTCTCTGCTCTGTCTGTGTCATGAGCGTCCCGGGACACCTTCCTTCGGCACCATATGCCTGATGCAGGTGTGAACGGAATTTGAGAGTACGACACGAACACGTTGTCTGAGTAATTAACATTCAAAGGCTCTTTGAAGAAATGTTCTCGACATGATACGAGATTCTGTGAATGATGAACCGTCAGATTTGGGGGATTCAAACTAGCATACTGAGCACGGCGTTTAAGTCCTGGGCATATCCGTTCAATTCAGCTTTGGGCTCTGGGACATTTAAGAGCAGGTGCTGGAGGTCAGCCCATTTTCCAGTCCCGGCTGGAAGGCTTGCAGGACCCAAAGCTGGACCTGAAGAATGTATTTTTATTTCTTATTAAATCAGGCCATCAGCTGCTTTCTCTTACCGAAAACCCTCCTTGCAAGAACAATGGAAACGTGTTCCCAAGGAGCCTTCTGTGGTGGGTGGTGAGACCTGGAGAACGGGGCTGAGAGCCGGGGTGCCAGCACACCGTGGTCCTGAATGTTTCTCACCCAGACAAGTCCCCAGCGCAGCTGAGTGATGAAAATATGCATGTTAAGGAACGTGAAGTGAGAGGTTGAAAAGTTTCCAATTGCCCGGGAAAGGCGTGTCTCTGACTTTGGGGACCAGCCACCGGGGAGCCAGACACCCTCTGTCTGACTCTAGTTGAGTTAAAACCAGGGCTTTTGGGGGTTTACCGTGTGGGCAGTCGAGTGAGCAGTGTGTCTGGAGACTAAGCAAACATTCTCCACTGTTCTTGCCCTGGGGTGACCTCAGGGATATCATTGAATCTCCAGCTCTTAAAATGTATAGTGTACAAAACGTTGCCACTTTCTCACTTTCTGGGCATGTGGCAATAAGACCATACTCTGCCACCTGTGGAAATACCTGGAGAAAATGACATTGGAGGGACTGGAGAAGGCTCTTCCAACGTTCCAGTCATCTTGCGTGTGCCCACGAAACACTAACACAGTCTGATGGTGGAGGCACAGGGGAAAAATACAAATGAAAGCCTGGAAGGCTTCCCACTGGCAGTGTGCACCTTCCTGTGTGCCCACAGAGTGAAGTAAAAAATTAAGCCAATTATGGTGTTTATGCAGAAAGAAAAGTGAAGTCCATTTCCCCTTTCTCTTTCAGAGAAGATCACCTCGATTCTCTACCTGACTTTGGGTAACTTCTGAAGGCGAGAGTTGCATTCATCACGCATCGAGACTCCTCGTATGTAACTGTTGATCTTGAGAAGACAACTCATGAGCACCATGAAATGGCAGGATGCTGACAGCTTCTTCATCAGCACATGGACACATCAACCGCTTGACCTTCCATTCAAGTCAGAAGAAGCCAGAAGGATTACCGCTGCTGTCTGCTCATTCTCCACGTGACCCCAACAAACAGCGTAATCAGAGCAAAGTGATCGTCCTGGCTTTCAGCTGAAGGAGGTTTCCAAATATCTAAGGACCCCAGGGGCTTCACTGGTAGCTCAGTGGTAAAGAATCCACCTGCCAATGCAGGAGACGGAGGTTTGATCCCTGACCCAGGAAGATCCCTCGTGCCATGGCAGCTAAGACCGTGGACCACAGCTATTGAGCCCGTGATCCAGGGCCTGGGAGCCACACCAAGAAAAGGCGTTGTGATGAGAAGCCCACGCTCTGCAGCAGAGAGGCGCCCTCGCTCCCGGCAACTAAAGAATAGCCCACGCAGCAGCGAAGATCCAGTGCAGCCAAAATAAATGGAATGAATAACACTATTAAAAAAAAAAAAAGGAATCCGATCACCTGCTGAGCCTAGATTCATCCCTTTGACTGACAAAAGGGAAAAGACCTTGGAGACTCCTGCCAGGTCCCATGGAATGGAAGTTTTGCTCTTCTCTTCGGTTACAGATGCCTGGAAAGACCACAGACCTCTTTGAC